TCTCTCTCTCTCTCTCTCTCTCTCTCTCTCTCTCTCTCTCTCTCTCTCTCTCTCTCTCTCTGTAGGGGTTACGAGTCGTATTCACAATTTTTCTGTAGGCGACCTTGGTGTGTGCGTTGAATATTGTGAGTGAGTGAAAGTAACCAATGAACAATCCCCAAGCCCCGGATCAGAACACAAGCGCATCTCTCTCTCTCTCGCTCTCTCTCTCTCTCTCTCGTTCACTCACCAGGAGGGTATCCTGGTCGGCCTCTCTGGTGCCTCTCCTCTCCGTGCAAGGGTGTGCAAGAAGCCGTTCAACCACGTCAGCCGTCAGGCTATCCACGTCAAGACGGTCGTACTCGGCCTCCATCGTACAAGCAGCAGCACCAGCAGCACCAGCAGCACTCTTGATGGATTCCTCCACAAGAGAGCACAAGACATCGAACAGCTGTGTGCAGTCCCTCCTTCCCGACGGCCGCCGTCGCCGCGGCCCAGCACCCGCCCCCTCCGCCCTCGGCATGTTGGCGAGCAGCAGCCGCACGACGTGCTCCCGCAGGCCGTCGGTCGTTCTTATTCCCGCCGAAGCAGCGTCTCCTGCTTCCGGTGCGGGGGACCCCGTTCCGGCGGTGGCGTTCCCTTCGCCTTTGCCAAGGCTCACGAGCACCCCATCGTCAGTCTCCTCGTCAGTGTTGCCGGAGGCAACACCGCTCGGCACAGCGCCATCCACCGGCGATGAAGAACCTCCAGTGCCCCCCACGGGACCCCCCGTACCGCCGCACACCGAAAGCAGGGACTGCGCCAGCTGCAGTCGAATCGCGTCGCTCGCGCAAAAAATCGCCTTCAGAATAGGCCCGTCCATCGCCGCCCCCTGTCCCGCGGCCGTAAAGGAACGCCCATCATCGGGAACTCCCTTTCCGCCCTCCGCCTGCCGCTCCCCGGATGGCAGCGGCAGCCGCCCGTGACGCCTCGCCGGCGCCCGCGACACGCCCACCCAGAGACGTAACGCCTCCTGTGCCATCGCGTCGGCGGGAGCCCCCTCTCCCACCCAACCGAATAAGTCTAGCGGGGCCGTGCTGCCGGATGCGCTCTCCGATGGACGGGGCGGGTCAGCCTGCTGCCGGACACCACCGGCGGTGGCAGCGGCGCGGGCGCCGCCTGTGGCGCGCGAGCTTGCGTCTGCGATGTCTGCTGCCACGCCCGCGAGCTCCATCAGCCGAGTCTTTTCGAACCAACAAATCGGCCCGGCCGTGGCAAGGGAAGGGAAGGGGGGAGGTATGAGTGCTGTGCTGTGCGTTTCGCTGGGCCGTGCGAATTGCGACCCTGCTCAAGATACGTCTAAGAGGAGGAGCGCACACGATTCCACCACCGGAGGGGTGGATATCTCAGGACACGGTAAACTAGAGAGGTACGCGAGGGTAGTTCTGGGTTAGGACCTACCATGGACACGCTCTGCGCTGGTACATGGGGACTCGAACAACAATCACGCTCTAGACCGTCTCGTGCCAGTCCAAAGAAGGTCCGAATCCCTTCACAAGCTAGCGGGCAGTTCGCTCACGAGGAAGACCTACGTACTGCCGTGCAGGAACAATAGTACCCCAACGCTAAACCCAAACCAACCTGTAGCTCTGGCGCTTCCATCGCCCCAAGCACCGCAGCCGTAACGTCCCTCGGCAAGCACGCCCACAGCCCGCAACCCCTCTCACGCGACCCGGGGTCGGCGGAGGAGGCCACACCCACACCCTCCGAGAATGATGAGACCCCAGGCGAAGCCTGCCCATCTCCGTCTGAGCCACCAGACGGCGGTACGTCATTGCTGCCAGCGGTGCCCGCAATAGCGCCAGCCGCACTCTGCGAAGACAGTGGCGGCGCATCTTCTCCCGTTGGCGGCGTATTCCCCGCTACGTTCGGGAGGCCGGGGCTTGCTTCAGCAACGGTGACGCCTCTTCCTTCAGGGGTGCCACCTGCTGCTGTCGTCACCTCTGAATCCTCGAGAGGGATAGGCGCTGACGGGGCGGTGGCCGCAGGAGTGTCTAGCTGCCTTTCCATAGTCGACATGGAAAGAACACCCAGGAGGACAACTCGGACTACCTTGAGCATGAGGGCCTGTTCATGGTTGACATGCGACGAAGGGTAAGCAATTGGGGACAGCCGTCATCGTCGTCGCCGTTGTTTTACGGAGGCGCTTGTATAATACTTGTAACGAAGTGAGAGAGTCAACGATTGGGCGGCCGATCAGAGCGACGACTCTGATCGGTCCAGCAGAGTCTACTCCAGCCCGTTTTCTAGCCATCACCCTTGTTGGCGAAGGAAAAACAGCGTGCTGTCCCACTTGTATCCAGCTCCGGCCATGTGCTGAAATGATAGGAGTCGGAACAAGTCAACAAACACGTCAACGCAAGTGCGAACAGACTACAGTGCTATCCCGAACCGACATCGTAAAACACTTGGCAACGTGGACGAGCCGAAGCATCTCCTCGTCCCCACCCACCACCTTGCAAAGAGATGCCCAGTCACCGAAACCTGAAAAATCAACCCACACTCAATCACAAAACACAACCGACGACAACCTTTCGCAGCGATTCGATTCTATTCCAGCAACTCACCAGGCACGCCTGCTGTGTGTCCACCATCTTCTCGGGGAGATCGTCGCCGAATAGCCCCCTGGTGAGTATCGCCTCGCAAAACTGGGAGAACCCGCCGCTGCGCACGAAACCCACCACCCAATCCTCGGGGTCTACGCCCTGCGGTAGGATGGACGTAGGATGGGGGTCAGGGCTAAGGGTTCATGACTGCTGGGCCCCCGATGATGACAGGTGCTGGCGCTCATTGCATACAGTGGAAAGACGGCTGTAGACTCTTGGCTGAATGACCTCGTGGAGTCTCTCGAGAACGCTCTTGTTGCACATCGAAATGGGCGAACGCCTCGCCTGAGATACACACGGGGTCACTCGCATACGAGAACAACGCACACCGCCTAGTACCGCGACCCCATCCAGGTGAATGAACGCACACAAGGCGTTCATCCATGCGTACGAGAGAAGCATAAGGCGTGCTCTGTCAGCTCTGAGGCCGAATCGGCAGCATTAAAGGTGTTGGCCCATTTCACAAGAAACAGACCGTTCTGGGCAAGGGTCGAAGCCTCACTTTTGCATTTCAACGAGTCAGCGCAGGCAATTCACCCAAACCACCACATATGGTATGCATAGGACATACAGTAGTGCAGTACCGGCGTCTAAGCTCCATTTCTTCCACCGTTTCCCTTACCAAAAGAAACAAAAACCAGTTGGGCCAGAAGTTCTTGTGACTTCGTTTCTTCCAAGTGGCCCGGCACCACCGTACAACGACAAAACGCATCCGTTAGTGGACCGATCCGCCACATGACCAAAACGCACACACGCGCACCTCCCACTCTCGGAGACTCTCGGGCCCGTCCAAAGCAAACGCCTCCTTGTCTCCGCCCGCGGGTCCATCCCCCACCCCCCCCGCGCCGGCCAAGAAGTCCAACACCCCGTCCACGATCTGCAGCGTGTAGAGCATCTCGTGCGACCCGGGCGGACCGAGCAAGGCCTTCCACTTGTCGCCACCGCCGCCCCCACCCCCGCTCCGTAAATATTCCAGTATGCGTATCCCCTTCAGCATCTCGGGGTTGGTAGGGAGCCGCATGAGGAAGCGCCAGGCGGCTGCGGCGGCGGCCCCTCCGAGGGAGAGGACGCCGAGAAGGTTCTTTACGCTGGGGAGGTCCCGCGAGATGATGGTGCGGGGGAGGGGGAGGTCTGGTTCTTGGGATTGGCTCGCGGTGCGGCGGAACGGGTTGTCGCCTTTGGGAGGAGTCGCCTCCCCTCCTTCGTCCGTCTTTTTCGTCGCAAGGCAGACGTTGCAGCAGCAGCAACCAGAGAGATCGGGGAGCAAAGACGGAGGGGGGGGGTGAAGCGTCACTTGCTTGAGGATGTCTCTATCCTCATGGTAGTGCTGCCAGCGGAATTTTCCACTCCATGGTGTGTCGCCTAACCGCGATGGACACGTTGCTTTAAAGTATAACACCATGTTTGATCCACCGTCCGGGGGAGGCGGGTTTTGCTAAAAACAAGGAATTATTCATTTAGTGCAAAGACCAAATACCTTGGTACTAGACAAAAAGAGCATCTCACACCAGAACAAACGAGCTACCACATGTGCGCGTTACACACACACATGGTGATGGTGCGATGAGACAAGTCATGACGTCATGGTGCTCGTGAAGGAGCATTCCCGTACAGGTACTATCAGAATACACCCGTATCTCCCCCTTTCTCTCTTCCCTCTCACGTCAGTGGTAGCGGGATCGTAGACGCTGGGCCTCGTAAGATCGTCCCTGTAGTGGTGCGCCCTGAGGTTGCTCCACACCACATGCGGCAGATCCTTGCAGCTGGTCGAGGCACGTTTTGGCACCGCGACAAGAAGCTGGTCGATTATTGTAGTCGAGACCAAAGGAGAGGCACGCGACCATAACACCGAAACACCAAAAACACACCCTTTCCCCTTTCTACCGCTGCCGCCTGAATCACTGCTGCTGTCATCGCTGTGCACTTGTCAGAGGTTTGACTATCGTCAAGACGTCAAGCCTTACGGGGAAGATTGCATCAAGACATGCGCGACGAGCCTAGGTATTTACAAATAAATCACGCCCCCTGTTAGCCTAGGGCAGCCACCATACTTCTACCGCGGACAAATTTCGTTTCATCCCTCCAGCAGGACGTTCATACGCATCAGAAGCACAGCAGAGACGACCAATTTCACCGGCCATTCCTACCACTACCTACCTCTGCGGACCACCCGCGAAGAGAGCCTCCCCCCGCCCGCTTTATGCTACGCTTAACATTCGAGTGCTGCTGTCGTGGGCGCAATGCTGTGCAGGAGCGTCACGGCAGTACGAAAATCGACTCCCTTCCAGCAACAACCAATCGCTGCCGATTGGGGCTCTTCGGTGCGCAAGAAGCAACCCATTTCTACATCAAGGGTTGGTTTCCACAGCGGCAACGTTACTGGTGGCGTTTGCTGTCTGTTTGCGTCGTGTCCTGCGGTGACTCTCACCTGTCCCTGAAGAGCCTCAAGAAGTCATCCAGCCGCATGTAACCGTCGCCCGTCTTGTCGTAGTTCCTGCTCGTTTTTCGTTCCACCGCATCGATCACCGTCATGCACCCAACAAAACGGAATGTTCTTCGTTCAACGCATACATGGCGATGAAAACACCCACAACACCGACAGTCGAGGAGGTCGAGGAGGTCGAGGAGGTCGAGGAGGTATGCATACCCAACGGTGCACCACCACCAGCACGTGGTCCATTTCACGACCACACGTGCCTGCAATCTAGTACCAGCAGTGGCCACCGTGAGAAACAGCAGCGAGGGCGATCAAAAATAAGCACCATCCTGGATGGAGACTTGGCGGGCAGGCATACGTTGCCAAGCACACATCCTGTCCCGTGATCTCTACAACTGTGCCTTACAAAAGCACGGTCATTCCGCACCGTCCCAGTCGCTAACCGTAAGAGAACCGCACAAAGCCACCAGGGGTGTACGTGTTAGCCCATTACCCACTGCATGCATAGCATCGATCAAGAGTCCCCCACGATACCACCGCAATACCAAAGGCTACGCAATGCAGTGTATAGGCTCGAACAAACTCAAAATAAGCCCAGCTTCCAGCGGTTTCCTTCCACTAGCTGAAAAGACTTCACCACGTCCCTTTCGACTGCTGCTGTTGTTACACCTCGAACGGGTATTAGTCTTTATATGAGTTGATGTATGTTTATTTTCTAAATAGTTACACGCAATACATGAAGGTTTCACTTCGGTGTGGCATGCACGTACCAGACAGGCGGATGTTGCCGCATTTCTTAATACGTGTAGAGAAATGAGGTCGTCCTCGGCGTCTATACCATACTGTTAAGCACCTGAAGAACTTGTTGACCCGCTCATCCGTGGGCTTGCACTGATCATGGCAGCAGCTGTCGATGAACCTCGCGGCGCCTATCCGGTCCATCACGCCATGGGCGTTCTGCAGACGCAGACAATGGCGGAAAAAAGGAGGTGGGTTGCCCAGTGTTACTCTGCCTCAGATCAAGCAAGGCTCGTAACCTCCGTGATGGCAGAGGAATTTCCGGCCTTGGCTTCAGGGAAGGCGATTGGATTCATCCCTTCCTTTCTCGCGGCAGACAGAGATACAACAACCTCAGCTAGATGTCACAAAAACTGCGAACGATGCTTGTACCACATGACAAACGTTTTCGACGACACACCCGCTCATTTCGTGCTTGGATTTTTTTTTTTTTTT